TCTTTCTAAGTCTAACAAGAGCCATGGAATGCTTACTGATTTGCTACCTCTTCTGAAGATATCTGGTAAGTCTTATCCATCCCATTTATTTTTCTTGTTCTCTGTAGCAGAATTAAATACTCGTATTCTTGAATATTCATACTTTATGTATAGTTTTGCAGCATTCTTTTCCCACTAACTTTGTTTTGGATATCCTTTCGTGAGTGTAAATCGAGATTTCCTTTCATCTGGTGCCAAGTAAACCGTAGAATCACATACTATTGCTTATTTAATCATTCCTTTATTGATGGACATTCAGGTGGGTTTTATTTTTCTCTTCTCTCAACGAACCATGCTACCAAGAGCATCTTTCTACATGACTTCTTGGGATCCTGAACAAGAGTTTCTCTTACTGAGAAGTAAAACTACTGAAAAAAATGTACCTAATGATTTCCATTGTAATAATAGCGAAGGGTGGTAAAAGCTCACTGTCCCACCAGCGGCGTAGAACAATATTCACTTCTTCAGACTTTCCACCATTTGATTTTACCACAGATTTACATTTTTGCCAGTCTGCTGGTGAATGGGTCATTATTTTCATTTTAATTTATAGTTCTCTAATTTTTAGTAAGATTAAACACACACACACACATACACGTGCACACACACGCACGTGCACACATGCGTTGACATGTATACATATATATCAGTTGTTCCCCTGTGGTTTTTTTGCTGTAAATTTTCTCAGATTTTGATGTTGGTTAAGGCAAACACATTTCCTGTTTACAAAACCAAACTTTATACAATTGTCCAGACTATTCTTTATATTTACTCTTCTGAATGAATCTTAAGATCATCATCTCAAATTCCATCAAAAATCCTATTGGGATTTTGATTGAGATTGCTTTGAATTAGAAGGTTAATTGAAGGAAAAATTGCATCTTTAATATATGTGTGCCTTTCCACAACCATTGTACTTTACTCCAATTTTTGGTTTGTCTTTTTATGTTCTGTAAATGTTGGTCATTTTCTTCATCAATAAATGTCTTTTACTAGATACTATCAATGGGTCTTTATTTCATAAATATTTTTTCATTGGTTATTACCAGTGTTAGGGAAAGACTGTGGTTTTATATGCTGATTATGTAACTGGTCAGCTTGCTGAGTTCTTTTATTTGTTCTAATAGTTGGTCAGTGGGTTTTCTATGAACACAGTGGTATCTGTTCCTTGGGTGATTTGGTAGTATTCACTTGGGTGTAGATTCTCAATGAGCATTTCAGGTTTTTTTCATGGCATTCGGTCTGCTTTTTTTTATAGCTTGGCCAAATGCTGATCATTATACTTTGTGTCCAAAGGTGTGTTTGCTCTAAGTTTGCAAATTGTTTGCAATAATACACATAATAGTCGCTTAACATGTTTTAAAAGTCTCCATATCTTTCAAGTTTTAATGTGACTTTGTGACTTCTTTTTTGACCAGTAATGCCAAAAGTTGATTTATGTCAATGTTCTTTCAAACCAGAGTTTGGTTCTTTACGTTATCTTCACATTTTTATTTGCATTTTATTCTTCTGCTTCTATCTTTGTAAAGTAATTCTGTCGTTGATTCTATAAATATTTACTAGGAATCTGCTGTGTCCCAGGCACAACTCTAGGTGCTGGAAATCACAGATAACCATAGGCAGATAGATGCAGCCTTCCTCCCATGAAAACCACAGTCTGTTGTGAGGGGCAGACAGTGAGCAGGTAAGGAGGAAGCAGAGGCAAAGGAGAGTGAGAAAAAAGGCAGTGTCCTTGACAAGGACTGATTCAGTGGCTTGGTAGGGACTCCATCCTTATCAGAGTATATTTGTGAAAGGAGAGAAGTCAGAAAGTAAACAGAGCGATTGTGGATAATTCTTTTAAGGACTTCTATTATAAAGAAAGACAGAGAAACAGGGCAGTAGCTGAAGATAAGGTTAAAGGAAAGTTTTGTTTTTCCTGAGATGGGAGATATGACAGCATGTTTGTAAACTGAAGGGAATGGCTGGTAGATGAGGGAGACTATTTGATCAGTAATCACCTCTCTTCTCTTCCATCAGTGACATCCTTGCAGAAGACTGAGATCTGGGCTTTGGAGAGGGGCATCAACACTCAGCCCAGTGTACCAGAGGGGAAATCAAGTATAGGGCACTGGTGCAGCATTATGTTCTTATTTTTCCAGCTTCTCAATTCAAAATATTGGTTCATTTATTTGCAAACGTTTTTTTTTTTTTCTTTCTCCAACAAAAGTATTTAAGATCATACTGCACGAACCTGAGTCTGGGCTGTTCCCAAATTCTCAAGGATTAATTGAATATATTTTTTAACCTTTAATTTCCACTGTTTGTATCTTTTTGCCCTTAATTTCTAATTGTACCCTACTGTAAAGAAGAAGATGTAATTGATGCTTCCTGCTCTTTGGAATGTGTTGCAGTTCCCTGTGTTCAAAAATAACTTATATTCTACATTGTTTAGATCTGAAGAATTTGTGTTTTATATTTTAATATATCATGCATTGATCAATCACTTTGGTATTTCTATCAATTTGTACACTATGATCATAAAAGTTCATGTCATTCCTTTTTATACTATTATACTATTTTTATATGAAAAATTATTTAGAGTATACTATTTTCAGTATGAGTTATTTTCTTTATTATATTTGATAATTTTCACTTTGAATATTTTCATAATAATATTAACCTGTTTCTGTTCCACTCTTCTGTTGTTAGCATTTTTCTGGTACATCTTGTCCTGTCATCTGACATCTCTCATCTTGACATCTTTTCCATGTCAGTCTGTCCTAGCAGTGCCTGTTGCAAATATCATAATGCTGATATTTTTATAAACCAAATTTAAGAGTCTCTGCCTTTTAACATAAGAATCTAATCATCTCACATTTATTGTGATTGGTAATAATTTTAGGCTTATATTGCCAGTGTGTGTGTGTGTGTGTGTGTGTGTGTGTGTGTGTGTGTGTGTTATTTACAATGCTATCTTGGATTGATCAGGTTTTCATTTTTCAGGGATTTTTTTTAAGTAATCTTTGAAAACATAATTTTCTATCATTATCTACAGTTACTTTTTTCTGTGGACCTCACATACTGTTTACTTCCTTTCTTTCATTCCCTTAAAACTTGAAATGTGTTGCCCTGTTTTCTTCTCTTTAAGTACTCCCATTGAGAAATGGTATCATTCTCATTCCTCTTTAAGTAATTTGTTTCTAGAGAAGATTTTTAGGATTGGCCTATCTATATCTTTCATGGTCTGAAGTTTCATTCATGCTTCAAGGACCCTTTCAATAAAGAGAGAGGTGGGGGAATATTTTTCTTTAATCAGAAAATATTCTCCTCCTTTGGAGTTTCTATTTCATATTTCAATCTGTTTGTCCTTTACTATTTATCTGGTAGATTCATTTGGCTTAATTTTCAAGTCAACCATTTGTTCTTTAGAGTTGTGTGATCTTGGTCTTGCATTTCTCCAAGACTCTGTTAACTTGCCTCCAAGGTGGAAATCATTGGTTCTCTGATGAGAGCCATCTCAGGTAGATTATTTTTATTATGATGGGCATAAGCCATTACAGTGGCCAACTGCGAAAGCAATGTGCTTGCATAGGTGAGAAGGCACCTAGAGTTAAAAGGTGGAGGTAAAGCAGAGATTTTAAAAGTTTTATTCAGACAGCAAGTTTGATTTTTTTTCTCAAGTCAAGGATAGTTGTGGAGAAGGGTGAGAAGGGCAGAGAACAAGTTTCTGAGAGCGTGGGTAGTAGTTTAGACATTGGGGAAACATTGTTGAGCTGTGGCATGCCCTGTTCCCTGTTACAGTTGAAAAACATAAACATAATCATAGGATATTAGATGAACAGGCACTGGACATTTGTAAAAAGGAAGCCAGTTGTGTTGTAATCTCAGAGGCATTCATGCATAATTCAACATATGAGGTGGTAACAGATAAAATTAAAATGGGGCTCCTTTCTGTACAATTTCTCACAAAGCAGGATTCCTTTTCATTGGATGATTTTAGTAAAGCATGGTGATATACTCTAGAGAATTGAACAAATTTGTTGAGAGATAGATGAATGATGATAAAATTTATGGAGAAAGTGAACATTTTGTTAGGTTATAGTCTATTACATCCAACTAAATTGAATTAAATGAAATATCATGAAAAGTTATGTGACAGGGGTGCTAAGTCTGGGGCTAAATATTTAGCTAATCTGCTGGCTGAGAAAGAATATGAGATTTTGGTCTCCAGTTTCTCCTCCAAAGAATCAGTGGTATTTCTTGTTAAAGGAGTATTTTTATGGTGGTGATACTTTGTCATTTCACTGTGTTGGGTACTGTAAGAAGCAGATGTCATTAAGCTTATTGCAGTTGAATTAGCTGTGATCATGGACATAATGTCAGCCTTACAGCAGCACAATTTGGACTCTGAGAAGGGTGGAACTTCATAAAGGACTAACATCGATTTCATCAGAACATCGTACCTGTATTATGGGCAGACATTGTGAAGAGCAGTGCAGGGAAGGGTTTAGGAAGTTCACTTCATCTTTTCTCATCAATATGACACAACTCAGTCTATCTTCAAGGAAAGGAGGAAAGAAAAATCCACTTAGAGGAACATCAAATGCAACTTTTGATGATGTTTAGGAAGGAATGAGCTTGGAAAAGTCTCCCCTCTTAGATCTTGGAAATTGAGGTGGTTTAGCCAAATCTGACTCGACTGTTTTGTACGTATAAAAGTCCAGCTTTCCCAAGGTGAGTTTTATGGGCTGTATATGGCTATTGTTATAGGTTATAAGCTATTGTCATCTTAGAGAAGCTTGGTATTTGAAAGTGAAGAGCCTCGTGGAAGGAGGCAATTTTAATAGTAAAGCAATCTCTGCAACTTGCTTTCTAATTATTACAGTAGCTGCCCCCCAGGGGAAAAGTTTTCCTCACGGCTTTTTACTTGAGGAATGGCAAATGATCACCCACTGTGTCTGTGCCTCTTGTTTTCACAGGTCCTTTGTCATCCAGCAAATCCCAAGCAGCAACCTCTTCATGGTGGTGGTGGACAGCAGCTGCTTCTGTGAGTCTGTGGCCCCCATCACTATGGCGCCCATTGAAATCAGGTATATCCTTTTGTGCGTAGGTCCAGCCACTATGGCTGAAGCCGGTAAGGGGGATCAACAGTAAGAAATCTTGGGGGAGAAATATTAGAGAGAGGAAAATGATATCATTTCCACTGCTGGAGAAAGAGACGTTGGTAAGGAAGTTTAGTGCCGAGTTTTGACCTCTGAGATGCAGAGTCAGGGAAAGTAACATTTTGGAAATATGCCTTAACTACAGTCAACATAACGAATCTCTTAAGTGTGAACGTTTAAAGGCCCAGAAGATCAGAAGGCGTCCGGAATCCTGCCATGGCTTTCATCCTGAGGTAATTCTGAAAACCCTCCCTGTTCCCTTTTTCCATCCAATTTGCCATGAGAATCTCACCATGGTCAAAGAACTATAACTAATAAATTCACTCATGAAAAAACAATCGGAAATCAAAGAAAAATACACAGGAAGGCTAATGGTACCCTACTTTCCGCCCCTCAATGCCTTCTTATTTCGTCTGTGCTAATCGCCTTTTCTTATTATATCCATGTATATATTTTAAAAGCTTCTTTACTCTCTTCCCTACTATGGATGTGCTGTCATTTTATCACTTTCTGTTACTACACACAAAGTGGCTCTGATTGTCTTGGTTTCTTTATTTCAAATTATAGTTAAAATAGTTTTCCCCTGCTTACTTTTAGATAGTCTTTCATTTACAAGAAACTCACGTAAAGCAAAGGTAGCAATATCAATATCAGATAAAGGGTCACAATTTATGAAGGTGGAATGATAAGACTGTAAACCCCATAACCACATGAAGTCACAACTATAAAGCTACTGCTTTTACACTGAAAACGATCAGAGAGTTTAGTCCTGAGAAAGGTGAGCTGACTACAGACTTAGATGAATTATAACAGAGTACCTCCTGCAATACCACGGGCAAGAAAAGTTTAAGCATAGTGAAAACAAAAGCTTCAAAAATCAACTTCACACCCACCCTGAAAAATGGAAAGCTTGCCTAGACCAATTACTATAAAGAAACTGAGAAGGTATCTGTTTTTTAAAAATGCCACCAGGGCCAGCTGAGTGTTAATCTCATCTTTAAATAGCAAATGATTTTTATGTTCTTTAAACTGTCCAAGTTCTAGAAAAGATTTTCAAGTCATTATAGCACCGAGAAGAACTTGGTGCTATAATGAAAGAAAAATTATAAAGAACTATAAAGAAGAACTTACTGAGAATGTGTACTTCACTATTCAAAAGAGAATTTACCAGCAACATATTATCCAAATATGTGCTGAAAAGGCATTTGAAAAAATTCAGTGATAAAAAAAAAATCCAGTGATCACCCCTAATTAAAGTTCTATGTAAAACACAAACACAAACAATAGTCCCCAAAACACTAAAATCACTTCAGTTAAAACCAAAACTACATATTAAGGCAATGAAAGTCACTAGAGTAAAAATCTTCCAGAATTAATGACACAATTTGCTTTGGTAACTTGATACAAGAGAAACATTTTTTAAAAATCAGCATTTTTTCTTTCTTTAAGTTTCTAAATTTAGTAAGATGAGATCAGTGGAACAGAATAGAAACTCTTATATATGACAAAGGTTCAAATCAAAGGGAAGAATATAGATTAGACTTAAATAGTAAAATAACAGTCTTACAATAAATCATAGGGATTGGAGAGAACTTCCTATCCAAGACCAGAAAGCCATGGAAGAAAAACAGATTTATTTAACTATGCAAAAATTATAACTTTCCTATTGAAAAAGATAAAGTCAAGTTTATAGAACTTGAAAAAAATTTTACAAATCAAATTATAAAGAGCTTTTTAAATTGGTAAGTCAAATAACTACATATATAAATAACCCATGAACATGAAAGATACAAGCCCCTGGGTGATCAGAATATATAAGTAACAATGAAATATCTAGCTGGAGCCATCTAAGGCAAAAATACCCCTTCAGTCTGTCCCCCCACTCCTGGGCATCTGTATCATGGGCAGAGGTGGGGGCAAACATCATTGTCTGGTGCGGAGCTACATTCAGCATTCTTTGCAGCAATAAAGAACAGATGAGAAAATGAATGTCCACCAATAAGAAAATAGCTGAATGAAACAGAGCGAGAATAATGGAGTTGGAGAAACTTCCATCAGTCAGTAGATTAAAAGCATGCTGCAGAAAGCAATAAATAATATGATTTCATTTTTGTAAAACAGAACCCTCCTTCCAAATGAAAAGAAAGAAGAAACACAAAACTTTTCATAGCCAAGTCCTTGAAATGATCGGGCTCCTTAGATGTGATACTTACATTCTGATAGGAAAATGCTAGCAGGCCAATATTTTCCTTTTACAATATGATCCTAACAGACATCTCCACCAGTAGTCCTTTACCTCTTGAATGTTCTACATAATAGTATGCAAAGAGTAATTTTGAATATATTATGTGGCAACTGAAACCAGAGATTCTTATCACTAACTTGATGAGATTTAGACGTTTTCATGTCCCTGAATTATCTAGGTCCCAAAAGACTTTGTTCTTACAATTGACAAGCAGGGACAGGCCTGGGGACCCAAGATACTCGGAAAGTTTAAGTCACCTTGACATCCATCTCTGCTCTAACTAACTCTGCTTTTCCCTGTAGGAGAATGCAAGGGAATGTGGGGGTGCACCAAGTCTCCAGGCCAAGATGGTCCTTATCCTGTTCCCCCTGCTTTTGATGCTCTTCTCAAGGTGACACGGACTGAGGTGTTCTCTTGGCATGCTAAATTATGGATAAACTGTGAACCAAAATATGGTGCAACATAGAAGACATGAAATATAGTCCAATCATCAGCATCTCATGATTTTAAACTGTGCGTGATATAAACTCTTAAAGATATGTTGACAAGAAATGTTATCTTTTTACTTTGCCAGTCATGTAAATGTGAGTTTGCTACATGATAATCACCCTTCATCAGAAACGGGACTGCTAGTGGGCAGTGTCCCTTCTGCTTGAAACCCACTGAAACAAATTTAAAACTGTGTACTTTTTAAATAAAGTATATTAAAATCATCATCTCCTTGTTTGGATTTTATTGTCACTTTATTGCTGAGGATACAGACTGAAAAGTGCATGAAAATGTTACCCATTCCAGACACCAGGAGAGGATGGTTGTTGGCAGAGACTTTGCTCCAAAGCAGATTCTAGACAAATATTTAAGAATTGTTTTGATGCTCCACTCTCAGTTATAAAAATATTTACAGAAGGAAATAAAAATATCATCTACATGAGAAGAATTTATTACAGAGAATCCTGAATTTTATTGAACTAAACTTCAATAGAAATCATAATATGGATGAGAACACATGCTCCCATAATATTCAAGTTTTGAACTATTTGGCAATAGAAATAAAGAAGTCATAAATCCTAGGAATTCATTGTGAGAAGACTTGAAGAAGGAAAAGAACAATGACTACAAATGATTCTCAAACTTATTGCTTGAGCATTTGGCTTCTGGCTTTCCCCATAAACAAGAGATGAAATTAGATCTCAAATATTACAAGATGTGAAACTACCCAGACCTGTAATCATTCCTAAAACACTGGATCCTGAAGCAGAGAAAACAGATTCCATTGTATTATGGTTACCAAATAAAGTGGAAGAGTTTCCATGCCCAGGTAAAATTGAGAATGCCTTGCTTTATAGGACAGACATCTAAAAGCCATATGGAGAATACCACTTAAACTCTTTTGAAAAAACAAACAAACCACATTATGCTGTTGATATTTTACAAAAACTGATGTTATCATACTACTTTATATCAAAGGGATTCCAGTATTTATAGGAATAACAATACTACAATGTTGTACTTCTTTAAATTACTATGCCTCCAGTGCTGTTAACAATATAACAATTCTATACCCTGCCAAGCTGTCAAAATTTTAACAACAGTGGGGCTGTAGTATTGTGATCATTGTGGTCAGTGATATTGTTCGCTTCTGTGCATTAAGTAAATGAGTGAATTCGTTTGTTGTGCACGCAAATATCAAAATGCGTTATATTTACACAAAACAGTCATGACATGTTTTTACAAAAATAACATCACATGACCTGTCATTCTCCATTGAAATTCTAAAGAACTGACAACAGTAGGTCAAGTATATTATGTTATAATGCCCACAATTTCATGTGAACACTGTAAAATATGTGCACTAGAAATATTTATATTTTCACTCCCTACCTCATTCTAAACAGTGGAGTGGCATCACTTTTAGTGTATTGTTTTGTGATGTCAGATAGCAAGCATAGTTGAGTCGCACTGTTGACCCAATGGCATTGTCAGACATCACCTTCATGTGAATGACCCACCCACCTAGCCCCTCAGATTCTGTTCCCTCAAATGACTTCAACCAACTGGCCACTCCATCTGTCTACTTGGATATCTAATAATTTTCTCCAACTTAATGTGACCAAAGTGGATACCTTGATCCCCCTCTACCATGCTGTTTCTTCCCGACTGCCTCAGCTCCTCCAGACAACACCTTAGAGACACGCTTGTTTGCATTTTCTTCCTCAGTCTTTCGTTCAGCGAGTTTCATGAGCTCTGCCCACCCCTTCTCCCCATCCCCTCACTGCTGCCATTCTCTTTCAAGCCATTACCAGCTCCCTCACACTGCATCCTTCTTGGTCTCCTCTGCTCTGCTCTCAGCAACCCCCGACCCCCACTTCAGGGTCCATTCTCCACGCAGCAGCCAGAGCAATTTCTCTGAAACAAGTATCAGATCATACTTTTGCCCACAGCAATTAGAGAATACACAGACCCCCTCATCAAGTCCAGTAGTGATTCTCCAATGGAGTATTACTCAGCTATAAAGAAGGAAATGGTACCCTTTGCAACAATATGGATGGAACTAGAGAACATTATGCTAAGTGAAATAAGTCAGAGAAAGACAAATATCATATGATCTCAATTATACGTGGATTCTAAGGAACTGAATGGATGGGAGAAGTGGATGGAGATAGTCTCAGAGACACAGAGGAAGAACTGAGGGTTGTTAGTTGGGAGGGG